GGGAGTATGGCATAAGTCATGATTACTATAATGGGAGTATGGCATAAGTCATGATTACTACAATGGGAGTATGGCATAAGTCATGATTACCACAATGGGAGTATGGCATAAGTCATGATTACCACAATTGGAGTATGGCATAAGTCATGATTACCACAATGGGAGTATGGCATAAGTCATGATTACTATAATGGGAGTATGGCATAAGTCATGATTACTACAATGGGAGTATGGCATAAGTCATGATTACCACAATGGGAATATGGCATAAGTCATGATTACCACAATGGGGGTATGGCATAAGTCATGATTACTTTAAAATAACAAATTATAAGATAAGCTTTCTAATATCTCTTAGTGAAGGCACCAGATGGGTATGAGTGAAATTGTTATACACGTAAGTAAAAGGTGAAACATCTTGTACCAAAACCATAACGAGCATTCTCCTCTGAAACAATGTTTTCCCTTTTTAAGAAGCCCCCCCCCCACCCACACACACACACACTCAGTGGCTCAATAGTACGTTTTTGGACTCATGAAGCTAAAAATAGGCTTCGATAAGCGTGGTTGGCACAGCACACATAGCCCATTGTTTAGCTTTGTGCTTTACAAAACACCAACAATTGAATCAACCCTTTCAAGGTTAAAAAGATTCAATGACTTAGGTGGGCATAACACAGAATAAATATTTCCTATCTTAACTTATCAATATTGAATCTGCTTAAAACAGTTTGTTAACATGATGAAATTTCCATTTATTTATGGGAATCCTTTAGAAACAGCACCAGAATCGTTGTCATGGCTATACAATCACCAAGACACTTGTTAATTTTTTTACTATTACTTTAGTGTTTTTTTTATTCATTGTTATTAATACAAAACAGGTGACTTACATGATAGAGAAGTCCATAATAAGCAGCATTCAATTACGACGAATAATGGAACCAGTAGTTTCGTATTTCTTCTTGTTCGTTCCTTCATGTTCCTCAGAGAACCAAAATTGCAAGTGATATTTAACCGAGACATGGAAATATATATATACACACCCATGTTTCATGTGTATATATATATATATAAATTAGCAAGTTTTCCAGTCGTGAGAAAAGATGCTTCCTGCACGATTAGATCTCTAAACATATCAACCCATGGTTTATAAGACGTAAGTGATTTCACAGTTTGGCCATTCTTGTTCACACACTAAATGTCAACAAAGAATACCACATATCAATCAAAGTTCAAATGGAATAGGAAGAAGGTGAAGAGCACGAAACACAAAGATACAAACGATCGGACACAGATAAATAACGAAATGATTATTTTCAATTTTAATGTGTATTTTTTTTATTACGATTTATAAAGATGGGTGGAGAAGAAGCGTTAATTCAACTAAGTTCAGATACTTTAAGTGACAAACGAGAACAAGATTGTTTTTGTTTTTTTTACACATATTTCTCTGTGTTTGTTATTAAGCCTAAATCTGCACAATGAGCTATCTGTAGTGCGACCACCTAGAGTATCGTAACCCCATTTTTAGCGTTATAAGGACTCAGATGTACCAGTGAGCCAGTTGGATGAGGGGGGGGGGGGGTGTTAATGTATCTGAAAGTTGTAAACAGACACTGCTTTCTCACCACTAGTTTCTCACTTTTATTAACACACTAGGGCGTTACCCTTCTTCAGCTCCGTGAGCCCTATTACAATTAATAAACGAAAAAAATTCCTCACTCTTCTCCAAGTTCAGTTTTACCTATTCGAACGCCCCCTCCCCAATGGCACAGCGGTATGTCTGCGGACTTACTAAGCTAGAATCCGGGTTTCGATACCCGTGGTGGACAGAGCACAGATAGCCCATTGTGTAGCTTTGTGCTTAATTACAAAAACAACAAAACCTATTCGACCAAATAAAAAAAAACAACAACATTGTTTTGCATCCTTTGTTCTCAGACACATGAAATGAGATTTATTTTCCACTGACTTGAATGGCATTTTTTATTCCTTTATTCAGAGAACTGAATATATTATATTAAAACGATTTTTGAATACGCAAGTCAGAAAACCACGTGACATACACAGCCGATATACAGTCCGTCCGTGAAACGGATTGTATCAGAACTAAATGTTTACATTATTAGTGGGGTTTTATAGATCGTGTGATTCCACCCAAAACTGTTTGCTTTTGGGAATGGGGAATAAAAATCATTTCCGCCGCAAATATATTCATTCACTCACATGAGAAAGCTGTATTAAGATCTGAGATTTAGAATTTCCAAGACAGGGACATCCCTTGCTTTCAATGGCATTGAAAAACAAATGGATATGGGGCCCTTTAGAGCACTAAGAACATCCAAAAAGAGATCCAGTCGTGATAAGCCAAACGTGGCATTTTATTACAGGTCAGAATCCACTAACTCAAAGGTCAGTTGTGAAATACTTCCACGTGTGTGCTCCAGACAAGAGTAAGCAACATAATCAGGAACAATCTCTGTCTGGAAAAGGAACACAAGTTGCTTCAACGACATATCTGTTCAACTGTCGCATAAACCAAAGTAGCGGGTCTTCATACAAGACATACCGTTAAAGTCACCAGATACAGCATTTATGAATTTCTGTATGATCGGACTGTTCAATCAAGGTCTGAGAAGTCGTCGTCTATACGCTAGATGGATTATGGAAGCCCTGCAGAGAAGCATGTTGCGCTTTGGACATGGCAACCTTTCAGCCGAAGCTCTTCCAATAAAAGCTACACATCTGGGCTATTGTCAAACCACATAGTTGTCAGGTAGAGCATGACCGGATGAGGCGACATGGACTTTAACGACATGGTGTGGCTCAAAATTCGTTTTGATATTACGTTAAGGTCTTGTACATAGATTGTGTTTTCCAGTTCTCGTATAATGCTAACTTGAGCGATGTATTATTGCCCTCTATGAAGGCTCAACTGTACTAGCATAATTGTTCGTAATTCTTGCGAACACAGATAACCAACACACTGGTCATGTGGGTTCACCCAAGATTTGAAAACCTGTTTTTAATAAGCGTTGTTGATCGATCAATGTTTTATTAAAGCCAACTTTTTGGTGCGTTTGTTAATAAAGAACAGCGTGGATAAAGTTTATAGAATGGTCTCTCTGAAGAAACTTCACTAAACCTAATCATTTGCAAATACTATACAATTTGTGGGATCTTCATATTAAGCACATAAAGTAATGATTTGAAAGAGAGAAATATTTTGTTCCTTAGATAAATGTTGTTTCACTACTAAATATACCAACTTTTCAGAGTTGTTGAAAAAATACACTAATAGATGAACAAAACAAATCATGAACTTATCCCACAAAGGTTAACAATAAAAAAAAATTATTAATAACTATGCTGAAAATAACTACGTGATTATTTTTGGTACGTTAAGGACTTACAACGCTAGAAACCGGGTTTCGATACCCGTGGTGGGCAGAGCACAGATACCCCCGAGTCGAGCGCCCTAACCACCTGGCCATGCCGGGCCATTTAGAGTGTTTGTGATGCGTGTGTGTAACATATTTAAAGGTCATATTTAGACAATTAAATCGGAAACTAGGGTAAAAATATTTAACCATGGAATATTAGTGTTATTTTGTATTTCTCAAATGATATTAGAATTCTTTAGGCAGTCAATTTTTTCGTTAATGTTTTATAGTCGTCATCAGATGCTTAAAACCTAGAAACATTTAATCCGTAATCCGATAATTCAACAGAACGTGAAAATTTATTTACCAACATTCTCGTTTGACGTTAAGCCCAAAACTACACAATACTTGTTGGATATACAATACTGTTATACAATACAATACTGTTAGGAGTGTTAAAATTTAATTATCTTAAAAGTAATAATTATGACAAGTTTCGTTACGCGTCTCTGTACGAGTCGAGTTGTACATTGTGTAGGCAGTTCAATTGTTGTACTAGGCTTTTGTAATACTGTTGACGTCATCTTACTAGAAGCTTCTAAGTCTTAATGGTTATATGAATACTGTTGTCACTAGAGGGCTTAATATTTCTAGATTTTTTTATGTCACGTGTTACAAATACGTACAGAAGATTGTTATTCTTGTTTGTTATCAAACACACAGCTACACAAAGGGCTATCTGTGCTCTGTTCACCACGGGTATTGAAACCCGGTTTCTAGCAGTATAAGTCTGCAGACATACCGTTGTCACTCGGGGCTACAGAGAGGAAGTGAAGTTAAGTTAGTGAAAATGAAGTTAGCCTGAGTGATATTTCAGTTTAGTCTTAACGGGCGATTTATAAAGTGAGTTTCACAGTTTGTATTGTAACAACAGAGATAAAGAAGACGAATTTGTCTTGTCAAAGGATGTTCTAAAGTAACTGAACCCGCCTGTGTGACTTTGACTAAAAGGAAACAATTATTTAAAACTCTGGATACAACTGTGGTAACCAACAGTTATAGTGGTTATTTTGAAGTGAGTTTTACAGTTTGTATTGTAATAATAGAGATAGAGAAGAATAATTTGTGTTGTCAATTGCGTTCTACAGTAATTGAACTAGCCTGTGTGGACTTTTGACAAAAAAAAAGAATTATATTTAAGTTCTGGATACAACTGTGGTAACAACACGCAGTAAAGTAAGTGAATTTATTAATGATTGTATTGTGATAACAGAGAAGAGAAGAAATAATTCATCTTGTCAGTTGGGTTCTAAAGTAACTGAACCAGACTGTGTGGACTCTTTGACGTAAAACAGAATTATTTAGAACTCTAAATTCAGTTGTGGTAAACAATAGTGCAACAAATTTTTGTAAATACATTCAACTTGTTTTGAATATATCATTTTAAAACAAGTGGATTGTGTACTATCTGTTTATTGTTGAAATTTATCACCAACAAGTCACAGACACTTACTGTAAAGAATGAGACCCTATAAAAACCTAACAATATAATAACGTACAAAATGAGGATTTTTGTAAGTTTATTTGTCTTAGTGCGAAGCTACAAAGTGGACAGTCTGCGCTATGTTCATCACGGAGAATCGAACCTCGGTTGCTAGCACTTTTAATCCATGCACTTAGTTCTGACCCACTAGTGTTTCTAAGAAAGATCGTCCATTCTCCTCTATGATTTGTCGAGCATTTTTCTAAGTAAAAGGTCTAAAATCAGTATGTATTCTGTCAAAACAGTACTTATGAAATACAATTGATATGTATAAACGTTGTCCTTGAAGATATGTTCTGAAAACTTGTGTTCTGTACATGTTAGAAATGTTCTTTGAATTGTTCCTCTAAAACTTTTGTTTGTTTGTTATAGCGTACTGCTACACAATGTCTACCTGCACTGTGTCCAGCCGCGAGGATCGAATCCAGAATTTTAGCGTTATTTAAGCTGAAGCTTATCGCTAAGCCACCAGGATACTCAAACTTCATTAGAGTGGTTTGGTTTGTTTTTGAATTTCGCGAAAAGCTACACGAGGGCTATCTGCGTTAGCCGTCCCTAATTTAGCAGTGTAAGACTAGAGGGAAGGCATCACCACCCGCCGCCAACTCTTGGGCTACTCTTTTACCAACGAATAGTGGGATTGACCGTCACATTATAACGCCCCCACGGCTGAAAGGGCGAGCATGTTTGGTATGACGGGGATTCGAACACGCGACCCTCAGAGTGTGTGCACGCAGGCAAAGGTCAACATTCACTTTTGAAATGACGGGAAAACAGGCATGAATAATGTTGATGTCAAATTTGATTTCGCAAATAGGATATTCTACACTAAATTGTTAGGAATTAATCACATTATCATTCACATTTAAAGATGTGACGTAACCTAAATAATAAAAATATAGATTTACTGTATGTTATTGTTGAGCGGCTCTTAACATGACTGAAATGTTCAACAAGTACTTTTCGCGGTGCGTGGTATAAGTAGCTCAAAGCTTTGGTTCTGAGTGAAACCAAGAGTCCAACACAATTAACCTTTTTAAAGTCCATGAAAT